ACGGAGCCGGCGGGGGGGCTGTGGGACCTGCGTGCGAGGGAGATGTGGGGCACGGGAGACTGTGTGGGGCACAGGGGTTCCCCGTGGGGCCCTTCCGCTGGCAGGCTCCTTCCTCCCGCTGGCCCCACCCCTCCCCGGTTCTCGCCCTCCCATTGGCCAGCGGCTCCATCCCGTGCCCTGATTGGTGGGTTGCCATGGAGGCAGCGGGTGAGCGGGCAGGGGCAGGCAGGAGGCCGAAGGGAAGCACACGGGAGGTCACCGGTTGTAGGGAAACGCACTTCCAGGTGGCCACCGGGACCGCCGCGACCGGTGGCGGGGGACCCTCAGAGCAGGGTGCAGGCGCCCTTGCGCTTCACCTCGGAGGCGGCCCGGACGATCCCCAGCTTCTGCTGGCTGTAGGGCGGGTAGCGCAGGGTGTTGAGGGCCTCCCGGCCCATGCTGCGGCGCAGGCAGCTGCGGTGGTGGGTGAAGGTGTCGAAGGTGAACCTGCCGTGGTACATCCCCAGGCCGCTGTTTCCTGCAACGCACAGAACAGGTGCCCGGTTGGTGGCTGGATCTGGCCGTTGCTCACCCACCGTTTGGGCCAGGGAGCCCCAGATTAAGCTCCCAGCTCCCCTCTCGAGGGCAGCACGGAGGAGGCGCTGGCGATGGAGGCCGCTTGTGTCTGTGGACGGCACCACGTCTTCATCCGGCTGCTTTCTAACACCAGGCTCGGCAGGGAGGACTGGCCGTGGCCGAGCTTCCCCGGAAAGTGATCTAAAGAAGACCATGGAAGTAGCCTACCTGGACGCCCACATGGTGCTTGAGGGATGTTTGGAGGAGGAAGGCTGGGCTGGGAGGAGGAAAGTTCCCCAACAACCCTCTCGTTGGTCTGGATTTCACCATTTCAGGTAACGCGTTTAGCCCCGGTGCAAAGCTCACCATGTTAAGCCAGGCTCAGAAAAATGTTGATAGAATAAGAGTTTCGCAAAACGTCGTCTTCCCAACAGGAGGGACTGCGCCTTGGAGGATTTCTGAGCCGAGGAAACCGGGCGAAGGCTGGCGCCTTTCACGTCATCCTGCTGTTTTGGGGAGAGGATCCAAAGGGCCCCCGCTTCGCTGGCAGATGGGAGAAGTGGAGTAGGGGGACCAGGAAAGGCGGCACATTCAGCGTGGCATGGCAGAGAGCAGGCAGCGAGAGCGCCGGTCGCTGCCCTCCCGTCCTCACCCTCCAGGGAGGAAGAGGCGTTTTATACCAGCCTGAAACGGGTACGTCTTGTTTACCGGATGGCCTTGAGGATGCTGGGAGATGTGTCCCCATCTCCACGGATGCTTAAGCGCCTAAAACACTCGGTAAAGAAAACTAGTCTTATTTCTGTATCTTCAACTCATCTTTTGCAGGTGCTTCCTCCATCCCCTCTCAAGTTTCTGTTCTCTTTTTGCTCTAATTCTGGAAACTTTATTGATTAAAAAAAAAAACCAAACACCACCTTTTTGATCACAGAACCTCGTCTGGTGCCAGAGTGACTGGGAAGGGCATCACTGACGACGTGGTGTTGGAGTGGGCAGCAGCAGCAAGATGCTCCCGCCAGACGAGCTTCCCTACCGCAGGGATATCCTCCAAAACACGTCTCCTCCATGCTGGCTCCAGCCCCGCTGCTGGCGAGACTCCAGGAGTGGAGAGGGGTGATTGTCAAGGTGGCTTTGGTGAGGATGTGACCCGTCTCCAAGGACTAGTGAAATGGCTGTTGGGAGGTGAAAGCTGGCTGCCTGGGAGCAAGCACGGGAAAGCCAGGCTGGCAGAAAATAAGGAAATCCAGCTGTGTGCTGATAACTGGCGCGATAAAATTATGTCAGTCAGTTTGAGCCGGTCAGTCTTCCTGATAAAATGCAAATCCTGGTCAAGCTGATGAGGCCTGTTTGGTATCTCGCGCGTCAGCAGCCCCAGCACGAAGGAAGGTCAGCGGGTGGCTCTCGGCCAGCTGAGCGGCTGAGCCTCGGGTGGAGAATAGGAGCTGTCTTTCCATGGTAGTGAAGATCATCTGATCAGAAGTGGGTATCGCCACCACCTAGACTCCTTCCTCCCAGAGGGAAGAGAGAAGCACTTCTGGACATGGGTTTTTTTCAGCCTAAGTAGACATCCAGAACGGGCCAGAAGAAGAACAGCCCCAAAGTGCCGTTTCTATCCGTGAGCTGTGAAATGCCATGTCACAGGGGTATCGTAGCGACTAAAAGTTTCCCTGGATTCAAGGAGAGGGTGGGTGAGTACGTGGAGTACTTTACCGAACGCGTGGGGCCCTTCTGGCTTAGCAAATCGTTTGAGCTGGAAACAGATGGAGGCTGGAAGACTTTCAGGAAGAAATATCGTGCACGCTTGCCCTGGCCTTAACTTACGCATCTGCATAAGGTTGTGGTGGAAGAACGCAGAACTAGACATAGCTTTGTTCTGAAGCCTTTAAAAGAATGAAAGGATTGTTTTCCAGCTAATGCTCTGGATAGAAAGCACCCCATGGAAGCTCAAAATCATGTACATCAACTGAAACATGAGAGCTATGCAACTTACGGCTGATACTCATTTCCTTGCTTCGCACTGCAGGGAATCCTTGCATGAGGGAAGGGGTTGAGTCCCCATCCCTGGAGGTATTTAAAAGACGAGTAGATGAGGCACTTAGGGACATGGCTTAGTGGGTGGTGGTGTTGGGTCGACGGTTGGACTCGATGATCTTAGAGGTCTTTTCCAACCTCAATGATTCTATGATTCTATGATTGCTTGAATTCGTCAAGTGTTAGCCTAAAACCGCTGCCTGGCGGCCGGTGTAGATGCGGAGAAGACTGCGATGCTGTGGGAAGCGGAGCGACAGCCTTCTCGGCTGCCTTTCTCCAGCAGGAAGCTTCAGCAAAAGGTTCAGAATCAAATGTAGACCTTTTCGGAGTCTGCCAATTTCCAAAAGCTTTGTGTGAAGCAACAGGGAGGAGCATTAGAAATTGCACACATATATAAATTTGCCTTAAAAAATATCACCCTTGGGTGATTTGTTGGTTCTGAGATTGGGATGATGGCAAATGCTTGTAAAGCTTTTAACCCTCATAGCGTCTCCGCTAGGCTGTGATCCGGCCCCCCTGCTGTTTACTCCTCAATGGTTTTATGCAATACAGGTCTTCAGGAGTTTGTATAAAGGAACGTGTGTACATTTGGGAATTCATTGGAAATTGCGCTGTCTTCAGACCCGGAGTCCAAAATGGAGATCCCTGAAAAACTGAAATTCTGAGTTCCTGAAAACTGTGGATAAGTGGCAATTTCCACGTTTCCTCCTGCAGAGGAAAGGGGTAGCAGAGCAGCGGGACGGGTGCGACAGGCTGGCTGCTGGTGCCATACGGAGGCACTGCATGTGGAAAGGAAGGTCTAGAGGTGTTTCTCTGGTGGCCACATTCAAAATTCCCTACCTTTTAAACAAGACATTTCCATGTACGCAGGGAACGCCGTGCTTGGGACACCAAGCACGGAGAGAAGGGACCTCAGGGTGCTCCACGCGTGTTCAGCAGAAACGGGGCTGCAAAGCCCACGAGCTCAGCCCTGGTGCAGTGAAGCAAAGGGCTTCTGCTGGGGCCCTATCTGGTGCAGAAGGATTTCCCTACAGACCATTGCAGAAGCCCCCGCTGCTCGTCCGCTCCAGGACCTGGTTCACCACCTGGGAGGGAAGCAGAGAAGGTGGACGGGGTCTGGTCATGGCTCAGGCACGCGGGTGGGATCACGCTTGGCTCACGTCGGCCAGGGGCAGGAGCAGGCAGGTTGGGGGATTTGGACCTACCGATCCCACCGAAGGGCAGCGAGGTCAACGTCACGTGCATCAGGGTGTCGTTGCCGCAGAAGCCACCGCTGCTCGTCCGCTCCAGGACCTGGTTCACCACCTGGGAGGGAAGCAGAGAAGGTGGACGTGGGTCTGTTCCCACACCCCCAGCTGCAATCCTTCCCCCACAACCCAGGGCTGTCTGTTCTAAAGAAGATCTTTGGAGCATGAACACGGCTGAGTACACCTGCCAAGGAGCATGGGGCAAGCGTAGCCCTGGCTTCGCGCAGCCTGTACGCTATACCTTGTCATCGGAGGAGAAGGCATACACAACCAGCGGCCGCTCGCGGCTGTTGATAAAGTCAATGGCTTCATCCACGTTCGCCACAATGACAATGGGCAAGATGGGGCCGAAGATCTCCTCCTGCATGATAGGATCAGAGGGCTGCAAGTCCACCAGCACTGTGGGAGCTGCAGAGAAAGAAACCCGAAGGCATCAGCCGTGCACGGAGGTTGAAGGTGACACCTCGGTCCTCTCCCCAAGACCCATACCTCCTCTAAGATAGGACGCCTTGCCAAGCTCCCCGATTCCCATGCAAACCTTCCTTAAATGTCACTTCCATCTAGAACCTCCCCTCCAGCTGTGAGACCCTCTTCAAAATCCAAGTCCACTCCATGCAAGGATGAAGACTTATGTGAAGTTCAAGCCCTCACCGATGTAGCGCTCCTCCTCGTCCGTCTGTCCTCCGATGACCACGCGCCCGCTGCGCAGCAGCGTCTGCACCCGCTGGAAGTGCTTGTCCCCCACGATGCGGCCGAAGTCGGGGGACTCCTGAGGGTTGGGGCCATAAAAATCAGTGATCGCCTTATGCAGAGCGGGCAGCAGCTCTCCTGCATCTGCACAGCACGTAGTCGGGCGCGATGCAGGTCTGCCCCGCGTTGAAGAAGCGGCCCCAGGCCCCACGCCGGGCCACGTTCTGCACGTCGCAGGTGTCGGACACGTAGCAGGGGTTCTTGCCCCCCAGCTCCAGCATCACGGGCGTCAGGTGCTTGGCAGCGGCTGCCATCACGATCTTCCCCACGGAGGTGCTGCCTGAGGGCCAGGAGAAGATGCATCACGGTGAGGATCCCACCATGCTACAGCCCAACCCATGGCTTTAGCCTTATGAGGAGCCGGGGCCAGGAAGACATGTCAAGTCCCACTCCTGTCCTGCATCCACCTTGGTGTGCAGCACGCAGCTGAGCCCTCGCCTCCAGCACCCTCTCCAGCTCAACCATGGCATCCCCCAATTCAGCTATTGCAAAACCCAGTTATGGCTATTAGATCCTCAGACACGGTGGTGGCAGATCCTCCACTGGATCCTGACACCAGATCCCCAACACAAGCCCTGCCTTCTCAGAGGGCAGGGAAGGGGTCCTGTTTGCAGGCAGGCTGCCCAGCGTCTCACGTTGACAGGCAGGGGAGGCC